GTGGCTGGCGCCTTAGCCGGTTGAGCTATAGGCGCCGAGCCCCTGTTTTATTTTTTGAGACGGAATCTTACTCTGTTGGGGGCTAGAAGGCCATGGTGTCATAGCTCACAGCAACCTCAAGCTCCTGGGCTCAAGCCATCCTCTTGCCTCAGCCTCCTGAGTGCCAACACAAGTGCCAACCATAACAACTTGCTAATTTTTCTATTTGTAGTAGAGATAGGGTTTTGCTCTTGTTCAGGCTAGTCTCAAACTCCTGAGCTCAAGGAATCCTCCTGCCTTGGCTTCTCAGAGTGCTGAGATTAAAGGGGTGAGCCAGTTTGCCCGGCTGAGGTTTGCTTTTAGGTGGGAGAATCACCAGCATGGATGTCACTGATGGCGATGTTTGGAGGGGTGATGAAGAGGATGATGCAGAGAAGAAAGGAGCAGAATGTCTTTGAGGACATGCCAGGGGGTGGGACCTAGCGTACGAGTGGAGGGTTGGCTCTAGGTGCCAGCTAGGCTCATCCATCTTTGCTGACAGCTTGAGGGCAGAGCACTTGGTAGGTTGTGAGAGGAGGAGTGAGAAGCAAAGTCTCAGCAGAGAGGTTAGGGAGAGAGGTGTCAGAGGTTTATGGAAGAAGAAGAGGGGTGAAGTTGCCAGCAGTACAGCGTGCCTACTGAGCAGCCTTGGGACCCGTAGTGGATGCTGGTGAGACTGGTCAGCACCATTGGGTATTTTTCCTCCAGCCACATTCAGCAGGGTGCGTGGAGAGTGGTCATGAGGCACCACACCGGGGCATCATGAGGTGCAGGGGAATGTTGGTACTTACTGTTCATGGAACTTAAGATGGAAACGATGAAAGGAAGGATGTTACAAGGGTGAGGGTCGGTGAACAGCTGTCAGAATTGAGGGCTTGGAGTTGCCCATAAGCTTGAAAGATTGTGGATGTTGGGACATGAGAGGGAGTAAACACGAGGCAGATACGTGGAACTAGATTATGGAGGAGTTGTGGTTATTAGTGGCAGCGATGTCTGCAGCATAACCATGACAGTGGCCAGGCCACAAGAGAAGTGCACTGGAGAAGAGGAATTCAGGAAACTGAGAGGCACAAGGTTGGGAGGTTCGTTCAGATTGCCAAGAATTAGACGGGAGTGGTATTGGAGAGAGTGACAATGAGGAAGAAGCTACAGTCTTTGAGCAATGGTGGGAGCAACAGAGGTCGGTGATGTCTGTGACAGCAAGGATAGCCGGACGACATGAGCACCAAAGCTGGAGCATTTCAGGGAGAAGTAGGGCAGAGGATGGTCTGGAGGTAGCAATGGGGAGTGAAGAGCCAGGGCTGCAGGAGAAATCAGAGAGGGCTGTGGTGGGAGCAGAGTTGTCAGAGCAGCTCACAGAAGCAGAAGGCTGTCTGAACACCACAGAGGGTGCTGGGAGTGGACAGGGTGTGCTGATGGTGCATTGTGGATTTCACCCTTCTGTGGGGAAGGGGGGCAGTTCAGGACTTAAGGAAAGATGGGAGATGAGAAAAATTGAGGGATGTGGGCCAGGCGCCATGTCTCATACCTGTAATCCTAGCGCTCTGGGAGGCAGAGGCAGGGGGATTGCTTGAGCACAGGAGTTGGAGACTAGCCTGAGCAACAGCAAGACCCTCAATTCTACTTTAAAAAATAGAAAAATAGCCAGCGTTATGGTAGGCATCTGTAGTTCTAGGTGCTCAGGAGGCTGAGGCAAGAGGATTGTTTGAGTCTAGGAGTTTGAGGTTGGTGTGAGCCATGGCGCCATGGCACTCTACCTAGGTGACAGAGTGAGACTGTGTCTCCAAAAAAAAAATGAGGGATGTGCAGAGTTTTGTGGACATTAGAGAGAAATGAAAGGGGGCTCATGAGAGAGTCGGGAGTGCGTGTGCATCTGTGCTCACATGAATGTCCCTACGAGCTTGTGTATTCATCTGTGTGTGTGTGCGTGCGCACGCGTGTGCACTGACTGACATAAACAGGGATAAAGGGTAGAATAAGATGAAGCCTGGTGAACTTGAGCTCCATGCTGGAAGCAGGTCATGAGCACTGGGCACAGGGGAGAATGGGTGTCTGGGCTTACACTCATCCCTGTCCACTGGAATGAGGAGGTCTGGGGGAGTGTGACCTCAGTCCTGTGTTCAGAACTAACCCTTGACCTTGGAGTTGAGGATGTCTTTTGAAGGTGAGGGGGCAGAGGGCTTCGAGAGGCAGGGTGTCCATGTGGGGCCTTGTCTTACCCAGAGGGAGGAAGAAAATACTTGGAGTGATCAGATCTCCTTGACTCCTGCCTAGGTAGTGAGAGTACTAGCCTGCACTTATGTTTACTGTGTGGGTGTGGGGCTGCACCCTCCCTAAGTATGGGCCCCCCAACTGAATCTAGACAAAAGGATTTGTTCTGTGACATTTGGATTCAGTCAGAGGGTGGCCTTCTCTGATTCAGTCAGAAAAGGCCACCCTCAAGAATCCAAAAGGCCACATGTGGTCCCAAGGTTGTAGGTTTCTCACTCCCAGCTTTAATCACACAATGATACTACCCAGGGTCTCACAACTACGCCATAACAGAACCAGAATTTGAATCCAGGCGTCTCTGACTATTGCAGCTCATTTACAGTTAAATCAGTGGCAGAATATTCTCCATGATGAATTTTCATCATAAATATCATGATTAAACCGTAAGGACTGTGCCTTTTAAAACATCTTAAGATGTTCTGGGGTTATCTTTAACCACATTGTGGCTTTGCTTTAGACCCCAGGTCCTTTTGGGTTAGGGATACTTCTTCAGTTCTTTGCACAGTGCTGTCAAGGCTATATAGGGGTTTTCTTAGTAAAAGAAAATATAGTATTAAAAACCATTGTGTCTTGTTACCTAACCTGTGGCTTTACAAAAAAATCTCATAACAACATGCTGTTTCTAACCTACTACTTGGATGAGCATCTAAAATTTAGACTAAGTCCTAGAAAGTTCATGAGCTGGTGAAACACAGGCATGTACCCAGAGTGACAGACCTTTGAAGCTGTGATACATTCAAAAGGATTTTGAGGCCTTTCATTTTACAACTGCTGTTGTCTTTTCTCTGATAGCTAAACAGGAAGACACTCAGAAGAAAACCTTCACCTGCTGGATAAACTCACAGCTGGCAAAGGTAAGAAAAAAGCAAATTAAGTTTTTTGTTTTTTGTTTTTTAAAGACAGATCCTCACTTTGTCACTCTGGGTAGGTGGGAGAGCATCCCTTCAGCTCATAGACACCTCAAACTCTTGGGCTTGAGCAATCCTCCCGCCTCAGCCTCCCAGGTAGCTGGGACTACAGGCACCCACGAGTCCTGCTAGTTCTTCTATTTTTAATAGAGATGGGGTCTCACTCTTACCTATGCTGGTCTCAAACTTCTGAGCTCAATGGGTCCTCTGGCCTGAGCCACTCAGAGTGCTAGGATTATAGGCATGAGCTACTATCCCTGGTCTGAATTTACTTATAAATGTCACTCCCTCAGTTTTGGCTCCAAGGAAAGCCATTAAAAAATGGCAGCAGTGACATGTAAAATGCCAGGGAATGACTTTTGGGGAATGAATTTGCTCAAAGTCACCTTGTTCTTGTTTTGATGTTTTATTATTTTATTTTAACATGTGAAAGGGTACTTTTGTCAAGGATATGGGAAATTGCTACAAAATATTTAAAATCAGTAACATATTTTTCATTAAATGAAATAATAGTAACAAAGATTATATATATATATATACATATATATATATATAATGAGTGTTATGAGTTAAGATACTGTCCTAATCTCTTTAAATCATCGGTTCTCAACCTGTGGGTCACGACCCTTTGTAACACTAAAAATCTGGAAGACTGAGAACCACTGCTTTAAATGGAATGACTATAACAACTCATGCCACTGAAAGGACTTCATAATAACCTTGTGAAAGAGATAGTGTTATTCCTATAGAATGAGATAGTCATTCCTGTTTAGGGGTCAAGGAAACTAAGGTACAGAGATGTCATATGACTTGCTCACAGTCACACAGCTTGTAAGTGATGGTGCTGGGCTGCAAACCCAGGCATTCTGGACCCAGAGGCTTTGATCATAGTCAAGGAGTCTTCCTACCTATGAGATACTGAGTTACTGAGTGCCTGAGATAACCTAGATACACAACAAATGAGCCTTTCCTTTCATGCCACTCACACTGTTCCCTGTCTATTTCTAAGAAAGGGTGAATACATAAGCAGGCTACTCCAGAAATGAAATCTGTTCTCCAAATGGGTCACTATCAGCTAATTCTGAATGTCTTTTTTTTTTTTTT